AAGGTAACAACGCGTGTTTAGATCAACAATGACGATATTTAAATGAGTTGGTATTGCCAAGAAACAAACACTGAAGTCGTAATTATTCGCCTGTCGTCCTGTTAGATTTTTAGATGTAAGACAAAAATATCAGCTAATCAGAAAACGCTATAATACTACTCTAGTAAGTGCTTTTCAGACTGAATCTGGTATACACTTCTCACATGACCATGAAGTCAACTTTCTTTGTGAAAATTGAGAGAAACATATGAAAGAAATAAACGCGGTATACACCTGTTCAGCGTGTGAAGTCAGTGAACATGAAGCTATTCTATTTGGGTTGGATTTTCCCAGCAGTTTACGTTCGTACTGAGGACGGCTCTGATACTAAAATATTCTAATGATGTAAATATTAGAAGTGCACTGAAATCAGAACCAGCATCTCGTAACCAGTCTATTGTCTGAGCTCTCTCATGTTTGACACCGAGAGGAACTCAGTGTGTTAAGGTTAGTACGTTTGGAATAATCCATTGACAGGCACCAGGGGCTGTTGACGGTTTTGGTTGTGGGTTACACTCCTTGGGAGATCGTTAATTCCCCACTAGTTGAATGTGTTGATAAAGGATGCATGAGATAGGGAATCAACAACCTCCCAACGAGTGAATCCCATAACCGAGATCATCAACGGTCTCCTGGTAACTGTGAACAACTGCGTGGATCATTCCAAATATATCAATTAAGCTTAATGCTTGAATGTAGCGTCCTAACAGGGACAAAGAATTTTGCACTGTTGATGAGTCCCAAACAGGACGAAACAACTGCCCAGAACTCGTTGTGGTCATCAAACATATTTGCATCGCTTATAAACTCACTGTGCTTTTTGTACTAATGATCACATTGTTCTGTTTCGGTAATAGTCATTTCACTAAATTGAAACCCATGTTGTCAGGCTTCAAGGACATAGTAATTTGAATGAACAAGATAATGACGTAAATGAATAATGACGTTCAATCACGATGTGGGGCTGAAATCGAAATTCACTTTAATCGAGGACGTTATCGCTTCTAAGATGATAAAATGGAAATAACGTAAGAGATGCCTGGCGTTCTGTTCATCGTACAAGGAGGTTATAAGATCGTAATTATATTTAGCGGAATGAATTTGAAGTTTTTTAATTGAGGTTCACAAAAGGAGCCATGCTATGGTATAGGGATTTTTTTCAGGGATTATCTGCTAGGTGCAGTTTACGTAAGCAAACAAATACTCGACGATTTTACTACTAACAATCTGCCTTCAAGCATATAATGGGTGTACATGAAAGACTTTCTTCAAAACTTATTTAAGATCCTCACAGTAAAGTAATGTTTTTCAAAAAGCAACGAATTCGAAGGAAACCTCAACCTCGCTACTATTTACTTCTCATCCAAATCATAAAGACCTAACGGTGACTTAGGTACGCAAAGAATCTAGCGTGTATTATGACCAAAATGCTTGCTTGAAAGCAGAGCAAAGAAAGAGAGGATTCTTCATTTGAAGAAGTGTGGCAAAGCAACTAGATATTGTCACTGATTGATGCTACGCCGCATCTGCTCACCTGAAACGCAGCTTAAACATTATTGACTGTTATTTACGTTTTGATCAATTTCAACGTCTATTATAACCTTTTTCTATTATTCAACTGATTTTGCTATAGATAAACTTGTAATATAAAAAAACGTGTATTGAAATATCAATAATAATAATAAAATTAATTAGCTTGACTGAAAAACATGTGCCTGGAAATTGCCGGCGCTTAACAACCTAAACGTGTGCATGTTTAAACCGCCGTCTGGTTTTATTTATTCACACATAGACGAGTAGGTGACACAGGTGATTCGTATACAGAAGCATTTAGGTACTTAAGCACTTAGTTCACCAGAATGCATCAGAGTATTACAAGATACCACGTGAAATAAGGCGTTGCGATAATTGAAGCGAAATGCAGTGCTTCAATCATCATTCATTCGAATTCGGTGTAGGCTGGTTACACCTGCATCCAACGTGTGTTGGATGCATGCGTCTGTGAATCAAACTGTAAAATGTGATTCAGACAGTGGCATTTGGCTCCAAAATAAAATTTTCTACTCAAATTTGAATCATTTTCATAATAAGGTAATCAATACCTGATTTAGTATTAACAACAAGTCATATTTTATTAAGTGGTTTCTCAGACTGATGGAAGCCCATCTTAAAATCGAATTGGCTTACAAATAAATTGCAGTTGAACTTGTGATAAAATGCTAATCGTAACGGAGGTGAAAGAATTACAACTTCGCATTTAATTCACACTTACTCGTGAGTAGTGTCGTGGGAAAACTGATATTGCTTTGAACGGACCATCCTGAAGACATCCCATCGATTGCTACAGAGACAAAGTGAGTTGTTGGACTATGCTGAAAGACGATATCTGAAAAATGTTGATTTGGTAATCACGATTAACCCCGTTAATTGACACAGTGGTAGCGCACATACAACTTCCGTGTAATGGATCAGGTAGATAGCGGGGCCTCTAATGGATATAATTGCGAGAGAAACTCGTATCTATACCTTTTCAATTTCAAGTGAATCCGTTGTAACTTCAAGTGAATCCAACCAGTGTACTTTTGTTTGTTTACCGAGAAATTAGTTCAGTCGAACTGGAGGGGGTTTAGACTGACTCGGTCCAATCGGTGACATTTGACGGCCAAAACATCAATCATCTTGTCGGGGTTTCCAATGGAGTGCGCTTGGTTGGATTCACTTGAAATTAAAAAGGTATCGTGCTTCCATGGTATACAGTCGACTGATTTAACTGAGTATTAGGCCAAAGTGATGAAGTCTGAGGAATGATCAATTTAGAGCAGAATACAAATTCACGGGTGTTAATTGGATAAAAAGAGGATTTTTCTTTCGAGGTTAAAGGGTGGAGATAAAAACGTTATTTGTCTTTCATTGGTTTGCATCACTGATAAAAGGGGGCCGGTTTAGAATGCACTAGATTGTTTGTAGAATCCTCAAATCACAGTTTTTGTTGAGCACTGGCAAATAGAGAAACAACAACTCATCTCGCGAATCATCAAATCACGTTTCCACTGGTCGCTTTCGCGATTGAGGTTTGAATGAAAATTAGAACTTTGTCATTTTTAGTTGGACAGAATTTGTATATCGGAGCTGTCAACGGTTGACGGTAAGTGTAAACGTTCCATGAAAATCTTGTCTGTTCTCGGATTGAATCAAGACAAAGTGTAGATACACAGCAATGCCTAATCGTAGATTAGATTAATCTATCGTAAAGATAAAACGCTCTGGGTTGAAACTTTGTCCAAATCAGAGAGCGTCGATACACAAAAGATCAGTTTCTCCAAATCGTTCTGCGGTAAAAGCTATTTGAACAGGTACCAGATAGACTTAGATGCACGTAGCTCCCAGGAGATTTTGGAAAGAAAAGTGCAACTGGTCAACTATATGCAGCAAATTCTTTCATGAAGAATTCGTGATTGGACAGATCGTAGTCGAAGCACTGTACTTAAAATATGCTTAATAGCACTGCCTGTGAATAACTATTTTGTTAGACAATACCACAGAGATGTTATCGGTCAACAAGAAACGAAAAGATCCGATTGATTGTGTTCAGCAGAACCGATCTACAGAGAACCTTTAGGATATTCGTTGACTTGACTGTGGTAATTGAACTGTGGATGGCACACCAGAACAAAGATATACAAATAAGGCCAGAGTCAGTATTGACGGTAATAAATAAATTCGAGATGTAAAAAAGAAGCGTACGGGCGTTTCCATGGGCCATTAGTTGATACAAAGGTATGGTTGCAGCATCATGAATCGGTTTAATATCATCACTCGATTATTAGTCAACTGAAACTCAAATATTAATGATATTACAGCACATGCTTTAGAACGCATCATATATAGTTCCGTCCGTTTTGCCAGAAACCTTTGTATGCGGTGTTATACTGATGAATATAGTCGTGGGTCTTGATGTTGTGAATGTTCATAGTAGACAGAGTGTTTTAGCTCGGGTAAACCACTGATAAGAAATATTTAGGAACAAATCTTTACTACCTGGCGTCCCATGGAGACTGTATTAATAAACTACACAACCCATCAGTCGCTGAATAAAAATCAAAGCTCTGCGCTCACCCACGCAACGAATAGAACACTTCAGAACCCATCATCATACATAGGATTTTATTGATATTGACGTAATGCATGAGCATTAATTATGAACATTCATAGTGCAGTCAATGCTAAAAGGCGAAACCATGTCAGAATAAGAGACCAGTTACTTGTCAACCTGGGTGTGCTCCTTTACGGATGTGGCATAGATGGTCAAACGGCTATGGTCAACCTCACACTAGTCAGAATGGGCAGAGTTTGAACACCCACTCAATTTCTCAATTGATGTCTCCAGGTAATTTCGAAATGAGTGCAAGTCATTCTCTTTTTGAAAGTTGTTTAAAATGTTAGAAGTTCCATAATGTAACCAATAGGAGTTTTGTTATTAGTTACGTAAAACAATGTTTAGATGATTTCTATTGCTATTGATTCTTAGCAGTTCATCAGAAGGCAGAATGACACGATTTTCCTGGTTCCTTTTCTTCACTTTCAATATGTTTTATTGTTATGACAAGAAGAGGTGTGCTTGTGTGTCTGCTTTTTTATTCGCATGAAATCAACTAAGCCCGTGCAATCACGTTCGAATAACACCAATTCTGGAAATCACACATGGTTACTCTCTATCTCTCTCTCACACACACATAATTACACCCACACATGGACATTTCCATATCTAGTTGATTTTACTCTCTTTTCAAAAATGTGTGATGCACCAATTTGTTTTTCTGTGTACATATGCCAAATCCATTTTGATGGGATGGTGGTGGTGCAATGAATACCAATATATAAACAAACTATTACCACAGGAATATACTGCAGTTTTTTAGATCGAAAATCACGGAACTTGATCGTTGGGGCACACAAGCAAAATGGAACATGTTGATCAACTGATAGAACAGGACAAGTTTGCGGAATGTCGAGCAATATTGGAACAAGAGATGGATAAACGTGTTGACCCCGAAGTTGGTTGGAGATTGGCTCGTTGTTATTACATGGTTTGTAAGTATTTGTTTATTCTGTTTCACCAAATTACACTCTGTTCTTTGTGAACAAATAATATTGTTTTACAGTACATGGCGCGCCAGAAAAACCTTCCTCTACAACCGTCAAACAGTTAATGACAGTTGCGCATAACTACTTACAGCAATGTCTGCAACAGAACCCGAAACACTCGATGGCGCTCACGGTATTGATGATTGGTTGATTAATTCAACTCGAATCTCTCTCATTCCAGTGGTTTGGAATTTCAATGGATCAGCTAGCACAGTTGGCCGGTACAAACGAGCGCATCAAAACATCGTACAAAATGCGTGAAGTTTGGGACGTGAGTGACACCTGCTTATCGTGATAGATTTCACTTTTAATCTTTAGCGTGCACTGGAATCAGACCCGAACAATTACACTGCGGTTTCCTGTATTGGTATATGGTATGTGATGTCATGCTAACTAACGTTCATCGTACCATTCACGGTACATTCATTTTCAGGTGTTACGTAGTGGCAGATTTGCCGGAGGTGAAACGTAAACTTGCCAAAACGTTCATGACAGAACCACCAAGCTCGTGTTTCCTTGAAGTAAGCAACACAATAATCGTGATCTTTATCCACATGACCAAAATTTTCATTTAGGCCCTTGATTACTTAAAACGGTCGGAAAGCAGTAAGTAGTACACACTTGTACCACTATGAACCTTCGATACAGTTTGTCCCAAAAAGTTGATTAAAAACCTGTCTTATATGTGGAAAACATACAAGCAATTGGGAGATAAAGATAGAGCGAAAGAATATTGTCAGTATGTTTTACAATACAGAAATATTGGCTGGGAGGTAGAAACGGTAAGTTGCCATATTCACATTCTGGGATATTGAATTACAAATACATCATTCTTTTTTAAATAGATCAAGAAAGAAGCGCAAGACGCTTTGAAGAAGCTGTGAACAAGCAACCGAGAGAGAGTGATGATTATCGTGGTTTTCTATCACCCTGAAATGCCCCCGGTATTTCAATAAACTCCTTTATCATCCTTCATTGAATTTGTTTTAAACTTTTACTGCTCGCTTGGATATTTTGCTACCTGTTATCAGCTAATCGTGGACCTATTTTCAATGCGGTACTGTAGCATGACTAGTATTAAACTAAATCAAAATATTTGGCAACGATTAACGTGTTTTAGCGTCTCGATAACAATAGCATTTAAAATAGAAGCATTATTGCGCTCGATACCTCGACGCTTCAAAGACACTTGAGTTCTCGTATAAGACTAGTATTCTGATGTTCATTGCTTTCGGTCTACCGTGATATTTACTTTATCTGTACGACTATTCGTATCAATATTGTGCGAGTCGTAGCTGCAGCATTTCGCTGCACGCGGAGCTAGCATTTTATACTACGATTCCTACTTTCAAAACCTTAAGCTTCGAGAAATTGTTGAAGTGTAATTGTTTGCAAAGGTTTTTGTAATGTTGTTCGAAGAGATGATGATGTGTAGTTTGACCATGACATGCATATATTTAGTCCGCAAAAAGGTGTATACAAATATGTACATATTTAGAAGTGGTTTGGTTTTTTACCAACTGGTAAAACTTAGGTTCAAGCTGACATTCCCGTCCACAACTAACGCGTTTCAGAACCGGAGAGGTAAAATGATCACATTGGGATAAAAGTATATTCAATCAATTGTGTATTGAAGGTGAAAACTGTATTTTTTGGGAGCTCAGAAGCGTACAGTTGCCAGATAGAAGTAAACCACATGTGTACGGTATTTGGCTTTTAACCAAATTGTATTTTCCACTGAAGGGTATGATAAAAATACAAAATGATACACAATTTATATAGTCAGTGAAGTAAAAACTGTTGCGCAATAAAGACAATATTGTCAATCAAAATGGAAAGCACGATACAACAACACAGTAAATCAGAATGTGGTCATTTCCTGAACTGTTCGTTCGCTATTTATAACTTGAATGCAGTTTATACGTCTGCTGATTACCAGAAGATTCATTGGAATGGCAATTGGGCATGCAACTTGTAAATCATATTAACAATTATGTTAGCAGTAGTATTAATCGTACTTGCTTCTTTTTATCTAGTGTAGAAATGTACCATCAACTTCCTGTAGGGGAGATTTGGCCAACACATGGCTGTCGAGGCACTGTAGGATTAATTTTGGATTCCCAGATCAGTAATAAAGTACACAAACATCAAAACAATACACAAAGTGAATGGATAGATTATGCAGGTTCTCACACGATCGTGAAAAGGAGTCGAATCAACACAAACGTTAGTTAGTTTTTCCTACACTTTCATAGATCTTTGGTGACAAATAAAACCGAGGTGTCTTGCGCACCAAACATCTCGATAAAATGTACAACTTCATTTAAGCGGATACAAAGGAATTACACTTCATTATATGTTTTATGAGGACGATTTGTCATCGTGGCTGATATCCATTCACAATCTCGAAATTCTGTCAAAACAGATGACTATCCTTTGGTCAAATTCGTTGTTTAACTGAAGTAAATAATGCTGTGATGTACCACAGCCTATGCGAGTGCGCCATTAGAGGTATCTTCGAAACAGGCACATAATCAAACCAAGATAAAAAGATCCTATTTGTTAAGATGTGTGCGTTTACACTAACAGTTCTTCTAGTGCTTGTTCACTGCATGATAACACTGATTTCCGAAATCAAAACAATTCGTGCTGGTCACTATTTTTCCTCAGGAGACCAGGGTATATATGAAAAGCCGGCACACCTAAAGACAACACTGAATATTGGCTGAATGTTTGTCTCAAACTGGTACAGGTGGCAATAGCACGTACTCGATCAATTATTTGAGCTGCGGTGCTATCGGAGGTTCCACACCCACCCTATCTTTTACAAGCCAAGATAGCACGGCGATTACGATCTACTGTGTGCTTCAACTCTTGCCTCATTAGTGTACCCCATCGATTGAAATCTTTGAAATCGTTAATATTAACCACTTCAATGTACATATTGGAACTAAATTTTGTTCAAAAATCATCAAAACCAAGTTGAAAACTTGCCATTCCGTTTGAGTGAGTTGTGTTTGTGTCTTACCGGAACTCTTTGCTCACGGTGTCTGCATTTTCCTCGCCTTGACATTGTCAGTCAAATCCTTCGCCACGGATAACATCCTGTCTGTCGAAGGTTCCAGCTCACGCCTAGACTCGCCCAATTGCGGTTGTCTGGTACATCCGTTCACGAGGGACATCGTGCCGCACACACGAGCCAAGTATCTCACGCCATCCCCTGTCTGAATAGTACTATTTAATGCCACAAGGTCCCCTAACGTTTCCAATAGTTCAAGAACAAGCGTCATGATCACCGGATGTGTTGAATTAAACTACTTCTCGGTGATCTCATCAGCTGTGTACATAGGTTCAGATCACGGTTGGTTAAGAGAGTGACAGGTTTGAGGACAAGCGAATACAGACGGGGAAGTGAAATGAAACAGTATGAAGGCCAAAGGTCACTAATTCGAACCGGATTGGGCATTGGAGCATGGGGCGTAATTACTGCGAAGTGGATGCGGGTGAGAAGGGTAGTGACACCTAACAGGGCAACTCGAGGCTGGCCACAAATTCGGTCTGTTTACATAAATCCGGCCTGTAACATCAACTGGCAGCTGCTTCAGCGAACCGTAGTAGACGGCTACCCTTCTGGCTGATCGACACACGAATGGCTTACCCAGGTTTGTCCCATTCTTTGCAATCCAGTATATTTCGGGTGATGAAACTGCACGGAAGTTCGGAACCGTTAGACGCCAAATTTGTCGGTGCATGCTCTGTCGGCCCGGTAGACACTAGTCTCTCAGTTCTTCCGATGTACTTTCTACCGCAAGTACATTGAAATACGTAAACGCAGGCGACAGTATTATACTGAACAAATGTTTTCCCGTAACATACTTGAAAGAAGTCAGAAACATGGGGTTGCACAATGTATCAATGGTCATTTTGCTGCATTGGTACACGTGGGTATTACAAGCAAGTAAATATTCAAGTGTATTCATCGCTCAACATTGTAAAGTTACACCAAAAGTAGAAGACCCAATAACTATCCCCAAAATGAAAACATTCTGAAGAACATGGATTCTGGAATGCGCAAATCACGAAATCAAATTTCTCATTTCTCAAATTTCTCAGCGGCATTCGTACGAGGAAACTAATCACAGATACCATTCCAGACAGTCTATTATCATTGTTTTATTCCAACGGAAGCTACTGACTCTGTTCTTGATAACAATATTGGAAAATATTAATGTGCGGTAAAAATTTTCCCAGTGCTAAATCCGCTCATTCCGGTCAAGTGTTTTTAATATACTGTTGTAATACATACGTTCGTTTGGGATGTCACTGTTTTCCTAGATCATCATTGGACTCCAAATCAACACATAAATGCCACCAGAAAAGTTAATTATGGCATTTCAGTGCTAAGAGTGGCAGAATGTGTTTCAGTCACAACCGAGGAGGAGGCAACAGAAATGCTAACATTCAGTACGCTCAAGTGTTCACCGCAGCTGAGGACACCGGACTATGAATACCTCTGTTACATGAGAATATATCCCATCCTACGCTCATCACAATTGATTTTTCTTCAGAAATCATATCATCAAAGGTGCAGCGTTTGAAAACGAACTCATCCCAGGGGGTAGATAATATACATCCACAAACCTTACACAAACGAACGAGTAACTTAGCTTAACCACTAAGCGAACTATTCCAACAAATGTTCAACAAAACTGTGCTCTCACAAACATGGAAACAAGGGATAATTTTTCCGATATACAAGGCCGGTTGTCGTAGTGACCTAGCTAACTACCGCCTCCTTACTCTCCTCACCGTATTATCCAGAGTCATAGAATCCATTGAAGCAGACAATGTGATGAGTCACTTAGAAATAGGCAATATGTTATCCCGTGCTCAACATGGGTTTCGTCGGAGGCGATCGAGTACCACTAACCTGCTTCTGACCGGAGAGGAGTTGACAAAAGCAGCGGATCACGGTGATGCAGTGGACGTCGTGTATCTTGAGTTCAAAGCATTCGACCGAGTGAACTACAAAATACTGCTGAGGAAACTACAAGATTCTGGGGAATTTGTACTGGTTTTGTATAGAAGAATTTCTTCAACAACGCAATATGGCAGTTCTGTGTGACTTTCTGATCCCACCAGCATAGCACGAGGAGTTCCACAGGGATCCGTGCTAGGCCCTCACCTTTTACGTGTCTTTATAAACGACCTAACGGACATTCTTAGGATACAAACAATAATGTTTGCAGACAATTCAAAAATATGGAAAATGGGGACAAGACCAGAGGACTCGCTAGAAATCCAAAGAACACTTAATGCTGCCTATCAATGGTCGATCAGAAACGACATGGAATTTAATGCCTCCAAATGTACGATCTTATCCCTTCGACACAAAACTCGGTTTCGGTATTTCACCGGAGATCAGCAACTTCCGTATGTCTCGATTGAGAAGGATCTCGGCGTCATTGTCCAAGACGACCTGAACTGTTCTTTAAACTGCTCATGGGTGTCGTCTATCGCTGTTAAAACGAGTATTTGGCAAGTTTGAACTTACGCTGTTCTCATCAGCCTATATTCGACCCCACATAGAGTACCCCATTCAAGCATGGAATCCATGGCTGCAACGCAATTGGAAGATTCTGGAACGTTCACAAATAATGACCACGAATATTGTCAACTGACTGCATTCCAATAGTTATGCGGAAAGACTGGAAGCACAGCAGCTGTACTCCACACAGTATTGCCGCATTCGAGGGGGGCTTGATATTGGTACATCAAATAATGCAGAACCTAGATCACCCATGTCGTTCACTCTTTTCCTTGTCGTCCAACACTCACCTGAAGAGGCACTCATTCAAATTAGTGCTCTAAAAATGCCAACTAGAATACCGGCGGCGTTATTCCTTCACCCTCAGAGTGTGCACTACTTGGAATTCTCTACCACCACATGTTGTTTCTGGGCCCACAATTGATTCATTCAAGCACAAACTGGACGAATCTTTGAAAAGTCCTGAATTTAAACTCCGTAGAAGTACACGAAACAAGGACAAATTGTGACATTCATTTACTTTGTATGAAGTGTGAACCGATTCATCTGTGCCAAATCCTATGGGACCAGAAAAGCAACCGCTTGTAAGTATTTCCCATAATAAAACTTTGATTTTGACTTAAACATACACAAATGCTCATGCTGCTGTATAAAACGTAACGAAAAGCACAAAAGCATTTGAAACTTGTTGGCAGTAAGCAAAATCTCGTGCATTGTGCCCAATGTTTGTTGGTCCCGTATTGTATTTAATCGCCATCTGCAAGCATATAGTTATTAATCAGCTTAGCTACGCAAGAGTGGTACGCATAGTTACAATGAAGTATTACAAAATTCAATCCAACTTCTGTATGTCTGTAATCGTTTCCACCAAGTCAGGTGATATCTGATCTAAAGGATCAAACCAACCGGGAGCGCCAAAGCATAGGCTCACAGTCACGTGCATCCACCTCAAGTGATTTACGACGACACAACGAGACCTCAGGCTGATTTGATCGTTTTGACTGTGTGTGTGTGTGTGCAGATAAAATCATATGATGATTTTCTCCAAATAAAATCATACCTATTTGATCGTCGTCGACATTTGAGAAAGCATAAACAGAGAACGAGTAGAATGGAGCGTATCGATGAGCTTTTTGAGCAGGATAAGTTTCTTGAATGTCGCAGCACCTTAGACGATGCTATGTGCAAGGGAAATGATCCGGAAGTAGCTTGGAGATTGGCCCGCTGTTACTACATGTCGCGTAAGTTCCGACGTTTGGTCGATTAACTTGTACGAACCCATTTTATTTTGGTATTTTAGTTTGGGGTCTACAAAATCCTCCTTCCAATTCACAAATCCAGGATCTTATGGGCAAAGCAAACAAGTATTTGGAGGAATGTTTGAAAGATCATCCAAATCATGCCAATGCGTTGACGGTAAGGCTGAAGTAACGATCAGCAAACTGGGACTGTATGATTTCTTAGTGGTACGGAATAACCATTGATCAACTGGCTCGTCTTGATGGGACCAATGAACGTATTAAAAAGTCGTTCGAAATGAAGGAGGTTTGGGAAGTAAGTAAGATTTGCTTCATATTTTCTTCGCGTTTTAGCGATCATTGCAAGCTGATCCAAATAACTATTTGACACATTCATGTATGGGAATATGGTAATTCGAGCAAACCTTTTTGAATATCTCAAACAAAAATTATCCAGGTGTTTTACTGTCACCGATTTGCCCGCGCTGAAACGAACGTTTGCCAATACGTTCTTTCGTACTCCGCCAAACTCCACTTATGAAGAGGTAACAAAGAAATGGAACCTAAAACCATTTGCGATTGTATAGGCCTTGCACCATCTAGTCAAATCAGAGGAGTGTAAGTTGTTTCCGTGCCAGAGTTTGTTAACGTCATTACATCCCGTAATCTATATACAGTGTCACCGAAGTCGCTTGTTGGAAATCTTCTCCATTTGGCCAAAACATATTACAGGTTAGGAGACAAAGTTAAAGCAAAGGAGTACTGTGAATACACGCAGCAGTTTCGAGATATCGGATACGAAGTTGCAAAGGTAAGTTTGTAAGCACACAGTGCACTAACTATATCATGTATGTTTTATTTAGAATAAAAAGGAAGCCAAAGACCTGATGAAGAAATTGTGAGCTTCTGATATCCGGATGTCAGAATCCAGCGGTTTGACGAATTTTAATGTAAAAAAGCTTTTTGGATAGAAACGATATCATTTTTCATTGATCACAAGTTTATTTTCTATACCAGTATATCAAATGGAATTTGACATTCAAGCTGGTTCTCATAGCAGAAGTAGTAGTAGTAGTAATAGTAGTAGTAGCAATAGTAGTAGTAGTAGTAGTAGTAGTAGTAGTAGTAGTAGTAAAAACGGAAAATAATAAACTCAGTTGTAATTGATCTGCTGGTAGTTCAATGTGAAAGGGTCAGAGCCCCAGGTCAGATCTCGTAGATCAGCTAGACAAGCGTAGGTTGAACCGAAGCCTAGTCAACCTCTTCATTCTAGTTTGAACCCAATCGAGGCTAGCTCTCTCATCATTCTCAAATCAAACTAATTTATTCATATTTTTCATACCTCGTCCAGCAAACCGTATGTGTGACATGTTACTTTCATTTTGGTTCGTGATTTAAACTTCCAACAGTATGATTACAGTGGCTTCAGAATGATATTTCTGACAGAAATCGTTCAATAACCAGTATTCTGGAGCAGTACAGATGGTTTGTTTCGCGATGTGAGCAATAACGAAGACTTCGATTCGGTTTGCTGATTCTTAATCATAAAATAAATGCTGGAACGGGGACGTGCGTCTGGTTGAAGAGAAATTTTAATCGGTACGCAGTTCAGCTATTTGCACAAATGAATTGTGAGCCAAATAAACTGATGCTTTAAACCACGGGACTTCAGTAGTTACATTTGTATTGAAGCAGCCTATAAACACGACACATGCACGCTTAGACTATCAAACTTCGATTAGCCGTTCGATTTTTGATGTTTTTGGGTGTGGGTTTCACTCCTTGAGAGATCGCTAACTCCCCACGAGGTGAACGCATTCAAATGTGATGGAAATGTTTGTAATAATCGACAAAAAGCACTGGGCAGCTGTTGCATCCTGTTTGGGGTTCGTCAGCAGTGCGTACATTTTGTGTCCCTGTCAGGACTCGAACCGCGAACATTCGGGCCGGGACTTCAAATCCTTACCCCTTCCATCAGACAAACACCTTTTAACCAAAATAAACCACAGTTACAATCGTGGTAAAAATGTTCAAAACTCGTTACATCAGGCGAGCACACATGTGAAGTGACTGTCAGGTTTATTAAGAATTTTCGAACAGCGTCCGGACAAGACAGGATACCAAGGGTTATCTGTAGGGATGGGTTAATTCTTTACTTAGAATTGGTGCAGGGATGGAATGTATAATCGCACAAGTCAGTCTGCAAATGATGGGTGCCGTCAGGTAGATTTTTGTCTGCAAATTTCACGTATGTGTGAAGATGAACTTCACAGGCATTCTTTATCTCTAAAAGAAAACGGAACGTGAGAAACACAGCTACTGATTGTTAGATCACGTCACGGCAGCTTGAAGTCAGTTTTCAGAAAACTAAGGACAATCATAAAGGAGAAAACAAACGGTATAGGGATAAAAAATTGTTGGACAAAAAGCTCCTGTTAACAACTGATCAAAGCAGAAGTGGCACAATATTCTTATCTGAAAGTAGAAACCTTACGGTTTGCGAGAAACGAATTAGGCATGTATTTACCAGTGAAGCTTAATTTCACAGGTGTGGTACTCAAGTGCATCAACTAGTTCGTTCACTCTATTCATCGGTTCACCCTAAATATGTATCCTGTTCCAGGGGTGTGAAGAATGATTCAAAATAAAACACCCAATACATTTTTCAGGATTAAAATTAACACTGGATAAAGTGCAGAAAGTAGTATTGTGGGATAATTGCTAATTTTGAGCTGTCAGATTTAATTAATTAGCTATGAAAATAGAAACAGCGAATTTATTGGCACAACTGGGGCATGTGTCAGATGAAATATGAACAGATACAGCATTGAGTATCAATGAAAGAACTGAAAATCGTCTTTATGCTGTCGGTAAAGAAGTTTGATTCGACGCCTACATAGATTTACAGTCGCTTGTCCAAAGTATGGTTAACATAAAGGGAACACAAACGCCTAATTTTACTCGTGATAGTAATTGCATTTCGGCCGTCCTGCCACATTTATATCCACGTTTCTTTTCATAATTAAGCCGTTTAAGAGAAGTTGTATATATTGTACTATGTATATCCGTATTTGCATAACTTGTCAACATATGTGCCCACATTTCATGTGAAAATGTACACTGTACGTCACGCAGTATAAAATAATAATAGTAACAACGAAAGGTGAAGAATGTCGATGATATTTGTTTTATGCACAAAACTTTTGACGTATTTCATTTGAGACCTNGTAAGTAGTCGGGCCAGGTAGGGTACAGGGAAATTTTTATAAATGCTATTGCGAGAGGGTAGATGTCGAAATGAGGAGCGTGTGGACGGATGGGAACGACAAGACGACAGATCAGGGTGTAGTGGATGAAGAGGTTCATCTCGAATCTTATGAGCAAATTTAAAACAATAGCTAATATGACCATGAATGAGTTCTGTGATTAATGATTCGATTGGAGTTAACGATGCACGACTGCTGATCATCAAACCACGGCAAATGGTTTTGAAGTCTTGTTTTAAGAGACCGGGAAACAGTACAGGGGAACAACAAAGTAGAATTGGTAAAACGCATTGAATAATGAAAGAGGACAGGAGTGACTGTGGGGTTCGGCATTGCCTGAGTTTGCGAAACTGAAAAGACGGGCGTCTCAGTTTTCCCATACAGTTGTAGATATATGTAGACCAACAAAGATTACTGTCGATGGTGACACCCAGGTACTTGACTGAGGTTATTCTAGATACAGGTTTACCGTTAAGAGTAGGGAAGTCCGATGGAATTGAGGAGCGGGAAAGACTGAAAATACACTCTGCGCACTTAGATATGTTAGGACTGAAACCAGCTTGGTCTGAAAACTGTTGGATGTGGGATAGGTTTTCATTAAAAAAGTGAAATTCTGAAGGAGATGAAACTGTCTGACAGAAAACAACGTCACCGCTGGCATATTTTTGGATGTGTGCAGGGGGTGGGACCGAAAGATCACTAATAAAGGCAGAAAAAAGATATGGAGATAGAGCGAAACTTATTAACAAGAGGCTTTGATGTCCTCTTTCCGAATTTGGTGCACTGGACCCTCTTTGTGAAATAGTCAGCAAGCCATGAGAGCAGTTGTGGAGTGCCAAAAGAAAGAACCAGTTCATGAGATGAAAACACATACTAATTACAGGATTGAAATGTATATGAGAAACGTGAACTTTATCAACCAAAATGTGTCTAGATAAAAGCTAATGTCGACCAAAGGAATGCGACTACTGAGATCATTTTTTTCTAAGCTTTTGAACAACTTATGGCATGGAGTCTGATGCGAGTCTAGAATTCGATGCGAGAAACCAGTTGGGAATAGCTTTTGGTAACCGAGGTTTCACGATTTACCGATTTGTACCAATGGATTGGTTTGCTTGTCGAATGCTTTCAAACGCGCACCCACTATCAACTAATGGTTTTACTCTGGTTTTGTAACCAACAATGTTTCCTGAAAGTTCGTCATTTCAATACTCAACGTGTATTTTCGCCTAGCATCAACTGAGCACATCACATATAATATAAAGGTGGAATGACGTGATACAAAACCATACTGCGATGGGCGGATAGATTGTCTTCAAAATACTTATCCTCCTTGGGCACTAGCGGTCCGGGTGCAATCCTTCTCAAACTTAGGATTTACTCTTAATCACGAAGCTGCTATGTTCCTTCAGTAAAACAAGTCGTGTTTTACTATCCACCCTGTAGTTAGTCCAAACAACTGTAACCAAATGGAGTGGTACATACCTGGACTCATCCACAGTATTACAATCTACCCTTTCTTGCTGGTTGCCATAAAACAGATTCTGATTTCACCGTTTTAATACGGTGAATTTGTTCAGAAGGTATGTCTGCTTCTTGCCTCAAATTGAGACCGGAAAGGTCTGTTTCGATTTCAAACCGTTTTATGCCAGAGGCTGTCAACTGTTCAAAGCTTAAGCTGATGGAGCAACTAGAGCTATAACAACGTCATCTATTGCTTTTACCGTCCACCTTGACATCAGTTTACACACAAGAATAAGTGCTATAACCTGGATATTGTTTGAGCTCATTTATTTCGTTTTATTATCTGCATGACAGGTGCACTATATTTCAGCCTCGAATACATCTCAGCAATACATACATCACATGAAGGAACCACGACACATTCGACTGATAGTCTTCACATGACTCATCTTTGCAAAACAGTTTCCTGTCTGCTACCTCAGAATATGACATTGGTTCTGTTGTGCGGAATGGCTGTTACGTGGCTCTCGGTTTTAAAGGATAGCATCCCTGAAATAGGAAACGTAAGATTAGCTTGACAGGGCTGGAGAGTAAAACCTATCTCACTGCTTCGTGTGCAATTTCGGATAAGTTTTGGATTTTGCAATGTACTAGATAGGTTGCCAAAGAGTAGTTTTGGGAGTGTGGTACATATGTACATAAAATAAGCACAGAAATCCACATATTACTCATAAATTAACTGTTTAGGAACAGAAGGTAATTTCGAAAGTCAATCAGAAAATAGGAAACGTCAGCAGACTGCATGTCTTCACAGAAAAACTGCTGGAGGATAGCCTCTATCATCTCTGTACCACAAAAACAGGATCCTCAAAATTGTGTTCCATTGCCTGCACCTCGGTTGTCTTGAAGGTGTTTGAAAGGCTCCTCCTTAAGACCTTATCCAAACAGTTCGATGTTGGTGACCCGAACAGTTTGTATATACCCATTCCCGTGGTACCCTGGATGCCCTTACTTATTTATCCCACTTTGTTTTATTCAACCTGGATGAGAAAAGAAAGGTTGTAAGCATATGTTTCCTTGACTACATTGATGCTTGCAACACAATTGATCGATAAACTTTGGTAAATACCCTCTTTTTGGGCGGAGTTCTACGATTGAACTCCTGGCCAACT